CGGGGCTCAGTCGGGGGGCGGCGGCGGCGGCGGCCTCGGGGATGGCGGCGGCTCCGCTGCTGCTGTTGCTGCTGCTCGTGCCCGTGCCGCTGCTGCCGCTGCTAGCCCAAGGGCCCGGGGGGGCTCTGGGAAACCGGCATGCGGTGTACTGGAACAGCTCCAACCAGCAGTGAGTCGGGGGCCCCGGGGAGTCCGGGGAGCCCGTGCGTCCCGTGTCAGTGAGAGGGAGAGCTGGTGGGCCGAAGTCCTGGGGGAACCCGGAGTGGGAGTCCTGCAGCCCCGAGGCTGGGGGCTGGGAGACGAGGGAGAAGGGGGTGCACTCCGTGAAACTCGGGGCGGGGGGTGTCTGAGGGAGGTATAGTAAGGAGCGTTGAGCCGTGCGGGGGAGGCTGCCGGGGGGGCCCCCCATCCTCATCTTGGCTTGTCTCTGCACTCGCCGCTGGAATAGCTTGCCCCTGTCCCACAGCTCCCTCGGTCTTCACTCCCGCTGGCTGCGGGGTCGGGGTCTGGGAGCGCCGGTGTGCTAGGGATAGGCCGCCGCATCTGGGGGCCCCGGGATGACCCGTTTTTCAGCCATGAGGGTTTCAAAGGGCTCTGCCGAGGACTCTGGCTTTAGAGAGCAGGGTCCGGAGCCGCGGCAGGAAGTCCGACCCAGCGCCTCCCCTGACCCGAGGGGAGGGGGTCGCCCTGGTTGTGTGGACGGAGCCGCCGGCGGTGAGCTGGGGCTGGGTCGCCGAGTTGGGAGGACCCGCGAGTGCTGCTTGGGTGAGAATGGGAACGTGGGGGAGCCGGTGACAGGGAAGAAGGCAGGCGGAGATGTCGGCGTGTCACACACGCACACACGCCGGGGCTGGGGACGGCGAATGGCACCAAGTGTGAGCGGGCGTGCGCGGCTGTCAGGGTGCGAGTGTGTCTGAGTGTGTGATTTGTGTGTCTGCGTCGGCGATCGTCTCGGGGTGGGAGCGGGCGGCGGGTCGGGGAGGGGGCTGCGGTCGGGTGTCCGCGTGGCCGGCCTCGTCTGGGCTGGGGTGGCTGTCGGCGCCGCCGCGGTCTGGGCGGGTGTCGGGGCGGCCCTGTGGTTTCCCGGGGTGTGTGGCTGGGCGGCCGAGGGCCGGCTGCGGGACTGGGGGCTTCCTCCTGCTCAGTCCTCGCTGCCCTTGTGTTCTCCTCCCCGCGGAGCCGCCGTGTGTGTCACCCCGGCTGCCTCAGTGTGTGTCAGTGTGTTGGTAAGGGGAGGGGATCCCTGGGGACGTGGGGGTCACTGTCACACCTGCCCGGGCGGTGGCGGCAGCACCGCCTCTGGCTTCCCACCCCGAGGCCTACTAAGGAGCAAATGGTGAGACCCCAGGGGAGGGGACCGGGAGGGCCGGGCGGCCGCGACCCCCAACCTTCCGGGGAGGGGCTGGCGCTCGCCGCTCCGCTCTTTGTTGTTTGGGGCTCTGCGCCTCCCCCTCTTCTTCCTCGCGCCCAGAGTGTCAGACTGGGGGTGGGGATGAGCCAACGACGCCCCCCCCCTCTTGCTTCCCATGGAAACCTCGGGGGTGGGGATGCGGCCCCTCCCCCCCCGGAGCGGGACGCGGAGATCTCCGGGGGGCTCTGAGGGCTGACTCCCCGGCTCTAGCGTGTCTCCCTCCCCCAGACGAACCCCTCCGACCCCCGCCCCGCTGGAGTCTGGCGGGGAGTTGAGACCTCGCAGGTGAGGGGCCCCGGGCTCCCCGCCACCCTCGGGGCAGCCCGGTGTTCCTTAGTGGAAGGTAGAGACGGAGGGGAGGGGGGTGCGGGAATAGCCTTGAGGGGGTGTCGATCGGGTTCCCCGCCCCCGCATACACCTGGGCGCAGGTGAACGCTCCGGAAGGGGGTGGGGGCGCCTGGTTCCGGGGCCTCCTTTCTGCCCTCTCCATTCCCGTGCGGGCCTGGACCAGCGGAGGTAGAAGGGGGCGCCCGCCGGGCCGGGAGGCTGCCGCCGCCCCCGCCTCGCTTCCCTGGCCTTTGTTGCCGCTGCGCCCGGGCTCCCCGGCTCCCTCACTGCGGCAGCCGCGGCCCCATAAATCGTGAGAGCGACGTGCTCCGGAGCCGGGAGTGGAGAGGGCCGGGGAGCTGGGGGCGGGGCCGGGCCGAGCCACAGGCTCCCGCGCCCCCTCCCCCCGGTCACGTGAGCCCAGCTCGGGGCTTCTACCACCCGTCACGTGCGGAGGGTCTCGGCCCCTTGGGGTCACGTGGGGGAGGGTCTCACGACCCCGCCTCCTGGGGTCACGTGGGCGGGTGTTGGTGGGACGCGTGCTGCGGCCTTCCTTGACAGACCTGGGGGGTGGGGGGGCAGCGGTCCGGAGGCGGTCACCGGGGCCCCTCCTTTCAGTCCCCGGGAAGAGACCTGTTCCCAGCCTGGCCTAGAAACCAGGTGTGGGGTGGGGGGAAGGGCTGTTTTGGAGGGAAGCCTGCGGGAGTGAGCTGGAGAGGTTCCTCGGAGCCCGGGATTGAATTTGGAGGAGGCCGAGGGCCAGGTGTGCGCCCCCTCCCCGCCGGCGCCTCGTTTCTTTGCGGAACTGAGCAAAGGTTGGTCCTCGAAGCCCCTTTCCCGAGCAGTCTCGCTCCCTGTCTCTATCTCTGAAATATATGTTGCTGATCTCTTTGATTCATACGTTCATTCAGCAAATATTTACTGAGCCTCTACTACGTCCCTGAGGATCTCCTCTCTCCCGGCCGCCGAGTGTCGGTGCTGCACCCTCAGAGCGTCCCTGAGCCTCTGCTTTACGTCTCTGGTCTCCCTCTCCGCGGTTGTGGGCCTCTCCAGATGAGCCTCCAGCTCTTCCCCCGGTTCCCGTTCTCCCCTGCGTTCTTGTTCCTCGGCCCTCCCTCTCGGTTTCTGGCCTCCCTTCTCTCTCTCACACAGTCTCCTTCCCTTTCCCTCGCAGTGAATCCGGGCTCCGTTAACCTCTCTTCTCCAAGTGTGCCTCTGTCACTCCCTCTCTGTGTCTGGCTTTCGGCTGGTCTCTCGCTCTCTCCGCCGCTGCAGATCAATAAACCTTCGCCGCCGCCGCCGCCGCCGCCGCCGCCGCTGTCGCAGGCACGAGGGGCGGGGATGTTGGGCGCTCAGATCCTCCTCCATCGACACGGTCTAGGGGAGCCCCTGGCCCCCGAAACCCGATGGCAGGACCCAGACCCCCTGGGCGCCGAGGCCTAGGACGCCCGAGGGCCGCGGGGGTGTCGGCGTGTGCGCGCCGCCTCCGCCCCCAGTCTCCCCAGGCCCCGGCGCGCGGACCCCACGCCGCGCACACGTGGTCCTGCCTCGCCTGCCGGAGAGGGCGGCGCGCAGCGTCGGGGGCGCGCGCTGAAGGAAAGAACCCGGTGTCTCCATCCCTCCTCCTCTCCCTCTGCTTGCTCCCTGGCGTCTGAGGCCAGGGGAGGGGGTTTAACAAGTTCGAGGCCCCTGGAGAGATCCTTTCCCTACTCCCTTGGTCTTGTTAGACACCCTGTTTACCTGTCCGTAATTGCCCCGGGGGGAGACGTTTGCTCCTTCCCAGCTCCCCTGCCACCCACCCTACCCCCTCTGCGGACAGCCAGAGAGGCCAGGCACTGAAGGAGTGAAGCAAAGGGGTCGGGATGTGCCCCGGGGCGTGTGAGCGGGGAAAGGACCGAAATGACGTGGTGAGGGGACATCCCTTTTAGAAGAGCTCTGTCGACACTCGCCTTTTCTTTGAGAGAAGTGGGAGGCAAGAAGAGGATGAAGTGGGGGAAGAATAGAAAATTGTCTGAAGGAGCCGGGTACAATCCAGCCCTCAGATCCCAGCCCCCCCCGGGGGGTGGGGCCCTGGGGGCGGGGCTAGCAGCGGAGCTCTTCTGAGGCCTAGCAGCTCCTCCCTCTTCACTGTTAGGTAAGGGAGGATGACAGATTCAATTAAAGCGCCCAAGCTGAGCAGACAGGTCGGGTCTCCTAGGAGTTGTGGCTTGGGATTCTTGGCACCTAGCCCTCTGTCCCCCTTCACCAGATACCAACAGGACCCAGCCAGCAGGTCTTTCTCTCACTACCAAGCTTTATAAGAATATAGAGCACATTTCAGGGGCCTTTCTTGCCACCCACTCAGAAATAGGTGAGAGATGGCTTCTTTTCCCTTGTGGCCATCCATCAATCTTTTTATAAGGCTGGTCCCACCCTGTTGAGGAAACTGAGGTACCTGCAGAAATATCTCTATAGAGTTGGCTTGCTCCCTGCTGGAATGGGGTGTGTGGTAGTAGGAACTGGGCTGTAGGGCAGGGAGGGACTGTTCAGAATGAGACTGGAAACATGGGCGAGGCTCAAGGACAGAGGCCCCTGTGTGGCTAAATGGCTGCTTCAGACCTGGCACCCTATAACGATGGCCCCCTCCTCAAAGCCTGAGGGAAGGAACAAGAGACTGTGGGGTTGGGATGGACAGAGGAGCCTGGGGTGGTGCCTGGGAGCTAGGCCTAGTCTAACCCGTTTTCCTGCTCTCAGTGCCCCAGGCTGAGACTCCTGCCCACCTGAGTACCAGGGCCAGGGAGGGGCCAGAGTGACCCATCACTCCCATGGGAATCAAGTGGGACTGCTGGCATTTCTGATGACTCAAGAAGGCTATACCCATTCTTCCTGGGGTGCCGACACACCAGCTCTCCTCTATCTGACTCACTACCAGGCTTGAGAAGGGGGCAGCACAGGCAAAGCCAAGAAAGTACGGTCAAGGACCTTGCCTCATGCAGAAGCCTTGGAGCGCATGTCCCTAATGAGTCTAATTACTGTTTGTAGAACTGGGTGGTTCCTGGTGACATGGAGATCCAGCCTCTCCCCTCAGGGAGTTCCCAGGGACTTGAGGACCCCAGTGGTTTGACATTATGGCAGATACCCCATGCCTTCCTGTGTCCCTTGCACTCCTCTGACAGTGGCAATATGTGTGGACCTACCCTGAAGAGATTAGGGAAAACCCCTGCCCACCTCCACATTTCTCTCTCCCATCCCCACACCACTGAAGGCTTCAGACTAATACTTTGATGGTGACTAGAAAGGCGGGTGAGGATTATAGGGACAGCATCTGCTTCCGTGTCCCAGACTCTGAACTGGAAAGTGAGAGGCACAATCACCTTGTCTAGGCACTGTGCCACTACTCAACCTAGCATGGTTATTGGGGGTGGGAGACCTTGGCACCCAGGTAGAAGAGAGGGAGGTGCATAATGAGATGGAAGTTTTGGCTGGTTGGCATGATGCCACTGCGAGGCTGAGTCCCACCGTTCCCTGTCATGTCAAGTTATTGAGGGCTTAATTGTCCATGGCCTTAGAGTGGAAGCAAGGAACACTCAAAATCCAGAGGTCAGGGATACAGTCATGCAGGGAAAGCAGAGAGACCCTTGCTTGGTTGGCTGGGGTCAACCAATACTGGTATGAGACTCAGCACACATGCAACCTAGCTTTTCTAAGTGCCGCCTATGAGTGGGCGGTGGACATTTTTGTTCCTGTGCCATAGAACTTGTGCATGTATATGCATGAAGCCGCCATGCGTGCGGATGTGAGGGCAGGTTCTGTTGGACTGGCCTTGGTGTGTGTGTGTGAAGGGGCGGGGGTGGGGGGAGTGGACTGGCAGCCGCTAGGGAAGCATGCTGGAAGAAGTGATCAGAGGGTGTATGTCCCATTGAAGGAATCCCTCTACTTTCACCCTTCACTTCCATCCTTGCATTCCGTCCTCCGGGCTGATGAATTCTGGGGAATGGATGGAGGAAATCCGGGCCCGGGTCTAGGAGTCGCTGGGGCCTGCGCCGTATCTGTGGCAACCACAGCGTAGGTTTCCCCCTCTTCCCTCCGCCCCTCTTTGCTCGCCTCTTTTCCTTTGGAGGCAGCCGGGCTTCCCTGCGCCTTTGCTCCCCTCTGGTGGCCGCCAGGAGAAGGACAGGCCAAGAAGGAGAGGGCACGGAAGGATAGCGAGGGGGCTGGCGGCACTAGGGCCCCGGGGACAGAGACCCGAGTGGAGAAGGGAGGAAACTCAAGAGGGAAAGTCGGAAGACTCCGGGGACCCCAGGGACGATCTGCGGAGCGGTGACGTGCAAAGCGGGTTGGCGTTGGGGTTTCTTCTCTCTGACCCGCTTCCTTTTCCCTCCCACAGCCTGCGGCGAGAGGGCTACACCGTGCAGGTGAACGTCAACGACTATCTGGATATTTACTGCCCTCACTACAACAGCTCAGGGGTGGGCCCCGGGGCGGGGCCCGGGCCGGGCGGCGGGGCGGAGCAGTACGTGCTGTACATGGTGAGCCGCAGCGGCTACCGCACCTGCAACGCCAGCCAAGGCTTCAAGCGCTGGGAGTGCAACCGGCCGCACGCCCCTCACAGCCCCATCAAGTTCTCGGAGAAGTTCCAGCGCTACAGCGCCTTCTCGCTGGGCTACGAGTTCCACGCCGGCCACGAGTACTACTACATCTGTGAGTGGCGGTCCCGGGGGCGGGGAGGAGAGAGGAAGGGAGGGCGGAGGCCCCGGAAGTTAGAGTGAGTGACAGCCTGGGAGGAGGCCCCGAGGGTCTGGGGTCGGCCTGAGAGGCCATCGCCAAGCTCAGAGTTGTGCGTGAAACTCCAGGATGAAGCGTGAGGTCTGGGCCAGCAGCCCCTAAGTGGCCGCGAGGCTGACAGGGGCGGTCTGGTGACAGTCCCAAGTTGGGGCAGTGAGTTCTTGAGGACTGAAACCAAAGGAGCGCTAGGGCTGACAGCGGAGCCCCAAGGACCAGTGTCGCAGAGGCCCAGTGGGGGAGCTGCGGAGGGAGATGGACCGAGGGCAGTTTGGAGGGGGTGAGAAGGAAAGTCTTGGGTCAGGACACCGGGCACAAATTGGGGCGAAAGTGACTCAGGCCCAGTCTCCTCCCCAGCCACGCCCACCCACAACCTGCACTGGAAGTGTCTGAGGATGAAGGTGTTCGTCTGCTGCGCCTCTAGTAGGTATCATCGACTCCTGGCCACACCCCTATCCTTGCCTTCCCTGCTTTGGGGCTCCCCTAGCTTCCTGGGGGTGGGGGCTGAGGGCACAGGCAAGGGAGACTTACTCCCCAACAGTAGCAAGCGAGGGGGATCCTGGCCCTGACTCTCCCCTCCTCTCTCCCCACCCGTACCCCACCCCGCAGCATCGCACTCCGGGGAGAAGCCGGTCCCCACTCTCCCCCAGTTCACCATGGGCCCCAATGTGAAGATCAACGTGCTGGGTGAGTCTGCGCAGCGCCCTCTGGTGGCCACTGCTGAAACCGCAGCCCCCTTCCTGGTGCCCGCTCATCCCCGCATGCCTACCCCTGGGACACCCATCCTTCCTGCCCCATGGGTGGTCACGTCCCCGGCTCCAGTGCTGCTGCCGCGTGCCCCCGCCCCCGGCGCGCGGCCCAGCCCTCACCAGCCTGTCTGTTCATGTGTCCACAGAAGACTTTGAGGGAGAGAACCCCCAGGTGCCCAAGCTTGAGAAGAGCATCAGCGGGACCAGCCCCAAGAGGGAACACCTGCCCCTGGCTGTGGGCATCGCCTTCTTCCTCATGACACTCTTGGCCTCCTAGCTCTGCCCCCCTCCCGTGGCAGGGAGAGACGGGGCGGGGCTGAGAAGGAGCAGGGAGCCTTTGACCTTTACAAGGGACGCCTAGCTGTGGGGGCCTATATTCCTCCTCCCCTGGCTGGAAGTGGGGTCTGCACCGAACATCTGTGCCTGCCCCTCTGCCCCCTCCCTCCAGGTAGGGCACTGTAGTGGACTAGGCACAGGTGCCACCACAGGTCCTGGATGGCCTTGTGGCTTTGGTAATATTTGGTACCAAACTTGGGGGCCATAAAGGGCAGTGGCTCAGGACCCCCTGACCCCCTGGTACTTTTCCCTGGCCCTTGGTGCCCTCCCCCTTTGTCCCATCAGAGAGACAAATATGCCCCAGAGAGAGCAAATGGCAACCTGGGAAGTGCCCCCATTACTCTCCACCAGGGACAGAACATGGGGAGGGGACTAGATGGGAGAGGAGGTTGCACTAGCTGCTGCCTCCTTCCCCTGTTTACAGCAATAAGCACGTCCTCCTCCCCCCACTCCCCTCACAGGATTGTGGTTTGGATTGAATCCAAGTTTACAAATAGACACCCCTGGGGAGGCAGGCAGTGGACAGGGGTGGCAAGGGGTGGGTGCCAGGCAGGCATGTACAGACCCTATATCTCTATATATAATGTACAGACAGAGTCCTTCTCCCTCCTTAACCCTGACCTTTCTGAACATCCCCTTCCAGCTTCAGACCTTTTCCCTACCAGGCTAGGCCCCCCCTGGGGACCCCCGGCCCCTCTTTTGTCTTCTGTGAAGACAGGACCTATGCAACGCACAGACACTTTTGGAGACCGTGAGAGACAACAACGCCCCCTCCCTTCCAGCCCTGAGCCGGGAACCAACTCCCAGGACCTTGCCCTGCCCACCCTACGTGGTCCCCACCCATCCTGGGCCTTTTTCAAGTGCTTTGGCTGTGACTTTCATACTCTGCTCTTAGTCTAAAAAAATAAACTGGAGATAAAAATAACTGAGTGCGTGTGATTTCAAGGGGGCCATCACCCTTCTGTTTCACCAGCCAAATCCCACAAGGCTCAGGGCCCCAGGTAGGCTGGGGATTCTAGGCCAAAGAGTCCACTGAGCACCTTGTTATATGGCTTGTCTCCTTTGGGAGAGGCAGCTCTGTGTGGAGAGAGCGCAGAGCCTTTGAGCTGGGCCTGGATGACTTTAGGTGAGTCCCTGAACGGCTCTGGGCTCAGGTACTCCATCTGAAACCTGAGCTGTCATCTCTATGTGTCAGGGTTGGGGTGAGGATGAAATGCTGTGGGGAGTGAAGGCTCAATCGACAATGGGGTTCTCCTTTTTTTCTCACTCCATGATGTAATCAGAGGTTCTTGGCTGGGGTCTATGGATTCCAGGGGATTTGTGAACCTAGATAGGAAAACAATGACATCTTTATTTTCACTCACCTGTAACAAATTTAACATTCTCTTCTGTACTTGGGCGACAAGCCACAATAGTATTAATGGTACCTGTGACTGTAACCAACAGAAATCACAGATGTTTTCAGACTGCATTATAGTTGTTGAAGATATCTCAAAATATCATTTATGTGCATCACTACTTTGAAATGATAGTTGTTAGATCTTCCTTGTTTTTAATGTATTAATAAAGAAGCATATATATTACTATACCAAAAAATGTAAATGTTTTGATAACTGTGTTTCAATATAACTGGTTTCCTTTATAACCTTTTGTAATTTTATTCATTTAAAAACATTATGCTAGCTGGGTGTGGTGGTGCATGTCCATAATCCCAGCACTTGGGAGGCAGAGGCAGTTCGACCATGAGTTCAAGGCCAGTTGGGGCTACATGGTGAGGTTCTATTTCCAAACCAAACCAAAAATAAACATGCTCACTGATGAGCTTGGGAGAGCAGAGGGGACACAGAGAATGGAGAATGGACAGAGCAGTCAAAGGGTTCTCAGCAGCCCTGGTGGGGTAAGGTCAGGAGGCCACTGCATAATGGAGGTGCAGGTAGGGACTGAAATGTGCCTGAGGCTTTGCTAGGGGAGCCAAGTGCCCTGGTGGGGGTGGGGGAGGGGGGGGGAGCTCCTCATGGCCTCACTGCACGCCCAGGGGCTCCATCCCACTCAGGATCTCTAACTGGTACTGGGTATCAGGCTGGGGGCCCCTGTGGCTCTTGTATTGTGAGAGCGGGCCTTTGGGCGCAAGGCCTGCGTTTTCTTTCCCTCTATACTCAGAAGAAATGGGAACATGGGACTCAGCAGGCCTCTGGAGAGTGGGTGGATTTCTGCATGGGAACAAGGATGCATGGGGGTGGAGGGCAGGCAGTGGGCCAGTCCGAGACATTTCTACTGGGAGAAAAGATTGTAAAGATAGTTTAGCCATCCAAATGTCCATGTATTTGATCAACATTCACGGCACGCCTGCTGAGCGCCAGGGTCTGCTGGGGGCTGGAGGTACAATACAAGGCAGTCTCGGCCTTTGCCCTCAAGTAAGCTTCTAATTTGCCAGGTATTGTTTGGCATACCTGCAATCCCAGCATCCAAGAGGCAGAAGCAGGAAGATGGAGAGTTCTAGGCAAGTCTAGGCTACATAGGGAGATCCTGACTCAAAGAAAGAAGGAAGGAAAAGAAAAGATGGTAGAAGAGAAAGGAAGAAAAGAAAGAGAAAAATAATGATTAAGCAAAAGCAATAACTCTCCCCGCCCCTCCCCCCAGGACAATATAATCAGTTTTTATACCATTAACCACCAGAGGATGAGAGGAATTCCAGGGGAAAACACACCCTTGCCTGGAGACTTAGGCAGTATACAGCTTTTACCCTACTAGAGAGAGTCTTGAAGGCCTCTCAGGCTGAAAAGTGGAGATTTATCCGAAGCTTTAGCAGCCAGCTTAGGCTCAGGGCCAAATGGAACAGGGGCTGGTGGTCGGGATACCAAGAGCTTTCAGGACTCAAAAATGCAGAAATGGAGCTGGACCCCAGTGGACACTAGCTAACTGGACACTAGCTACTCAGGAGGCCAAGATCTAGGGGACTGCAGTTCAAGGTCTGTAAAAAAAAAAAGTCTGTAACTGTCTCCAAAACAACCAGAAAAAATTAGGACTGAGCTAGCTTCTGGTAGTTCACACCTGTAATCCTAGCTACTCCCTGTTCAATGCCACCCGGGACAGAAAAGCCCAAGACTCTTATGTCTCCAATTAACCACCAAAAAGGTAGAAGTGGAGCAGTGGCTCAAGTGAGAGAGTACCAGCCTTGAGCAAAAAAGGTAAAGGAAGGGGCTGGGAAGGTGGCTCAGTGGTAGAGCGCTTGCCTTGCATGCATGAGGCCCTGGGTTCGATTCCTCAGCACCACAAAGCCGGAAGTGGTGCTGTGGCTCAAGTGGTAGAGCACTAGCCTTGAGCTGAAGAGCTGAGGGACAGCGCCCAAGCCCAGAGTTCAGGCCCCACGACCGGACTCCCTCCCCCCCCCACCACAAAAAGGTAAAGGAAGCCAGGCGCTGGTGGCTCACACCTGTAACCCTAGCTGCCTAGGAGACTGAGATCTGAGGATCTCAGCTCAAAGCTAGTCCGGATAGGAAAGTCCGTGAGACTCTTATCTCCAACTAACCACCAGAAACCCAGAAGTAGCACTGTGGCTCAAGTGATAAAGCGCTCGCCTTGAGCTGAAGAGCTCAGGGACAGTGCCCAGGCCCAGAGTTCAAGCTCACAACTGACCAAAAAAAAAAAAAAAAGGGGTCAGTGCCTAGGACCCTAAACTGAAGCTTAGGGTCCTGACCACCATTAGAACCTGCTGCCTACCTAGAACTGTTCACCATAAATCCTGATGACCTTCAAACCCCCTCACGGGCATAGCCTGTTACCCCTCCTGCCATGCTACCTGAACTTATTGGAGAAAGACAGCACATATATCAGGTCTGGATTGGGTGAGCAGCTCCAACCCCTCATTTTACAGATGGGACAACTGCAGCTGAGAGAGGACAGGTGACTGGCCCACACCGCCATTCAAGTACCGAGGACAGGGCTGGAGCCAGAACTCAGGTGTCCTAAGCCCCCATCTTCTCTGTCCTAGTGACACGCACAGAAGTGAGGGTCACTTCTTCCTGGGAATCAAAAGCTGTCATGTGGAATCCCTTAGCTCTTGGCAAGGTAAAGAGGAAGAACCAGCTCCTCAAGGGTCTGTTTCTATGGGCTGGGAATGTGGCTTAGTGGTAGAGTGCTTGCCCAGCATGCCTGAAGCCCTGGGTTCGATTCCTCAGTACCACATAAACAGAAAAAGCCAAAAGTGGTGCTGTGGCTCAAGAGGTAGAGTGCTGGCCTTGAACAAAAGAAGCTCAGGGACAGTGCCCAGGCCTTGAGTTCAAGCCCCAGGGCTGGCAAAAAAAAAAATCCTTTTCTATGCACCTGAAGTTTAAAGTACCAGCTGGGCACTCCCCCAGTCAGGGCTTTTGATCCCAAAACAAGCAAGACGGGCACTGGGGTAAGGGCTCAGCACTACAGAGGGACAGACACCAATGACCCTGAGCCTGCCTAGCACAGACCCCTGCCTTACGACACCAAAGCTCACACTTCCCAAGGTTTCCTGGCCCAGACAATAGTGAGGTGGCCTATTTATGGCCTGAGAGAGAGGAAGGGAAGAAAGGAAGGAGACCCACAGAACCCCTCCACAGCTACCTATAGATAGGGAGCTGAATATAACAACTTCAAGTGGGGGACGGAGCACAATAGTAGGGAATGCGGCAGATGGCAACAGGCCAACAGCTGGGGAAAGAAAGGCCAGGCTGTGCCATCTCTTCTGACAGCCCCACCCCAGCACCTGGGGTGCCCTCCGAGTCTGCTGGTGGCTGCCAGATGGTGCCCCAGGGCCTGGACATTCTGCTCAATGTGCTACCCCCCCCAATCCCAAAGCACAGCAGCCCCAGACTGGAAGAGACAGCTCCAGATGGGCAGCACCCACTCTGTGCAGGGTCTTCTTCCTCTTTGGTCTCATATGGCTGCCTAGGTAAGGGCATTGCCAGAGTTCCAGACATAGAGGAAATCCATTTATCCCTCCTCTTCCTGTTCTTAGCCAAGCAACAACAGACAACTAAGCAGAGTTGAACTCAAGGGATGAGATTCAGAGTGGCCATGTTCTCCCCTCCAGGTGAGTGTTGTTTCCCTCAAAGCTTAAGGTAGAGTGGGCACAGCAAACTGGGCTGGTCTAAGCCCTACCATTGCAGGACTCCTGCTCAGGGCCTGTAGTTCTGCTCCACATCCAGCAGGTGGCACAACCTTTAGCTGGGGGCTGCCCAGATGTGAGGGGGCTTGGGAAGAGTTAGGGGTTCATGGAAGTGTAAGAGTGCCAGCCACTGGGGGCAGTAGGAAGCTGCACTTTGGGATGCTCTGGGCTCAGCATGAAGCAGGAAAGGACCCAGATTTTCTCCCATCCCATCTCTTTTTCCTACTCCCTATTCTAGACACCATGGGGTTGGGCCCATGGGCACCCATCTACTCAGAGCTATCCAGCCCCTACCCTCTAGCTTCCTCATTCTCCTTCATGCTCTTTGTTTTGTTAGCAGGCAAACCAGGGGCCTGGGATCCATTTCTGATTGTAATGACACCAGCTGTGACCAGGAGACGAGGATTAGGGTGAAGGCAAAGAGAGGATTTGGCTAGGAAGGGAGGGAGGAAGGAAGGGAGGGAGGAAGGGAGGAAGGGAGGAAGAGGACCTGTGTCAGGGATGTGGGCTGGCCTAGGGGACACAGGTGGGAGGTGGCAGGGACACAGGCAGGGTTTCGGTAGCCCCAGGATGCCAGACTGGAGAGTGTGACACTGACACAGGGGAGAACGAGGCTTGGACCAGCCAGAGACACTTGAGACCAGGGGCAGCAGGGAAAACCATGGTCTGGCCCTGGGGGCCTGGCCTCTGGTCTCTTCAGTGGTCTGACCCAGTTGGGACAGATATGGTCCCTGGCCAGGAGGTTTAACACCAAACTCTCTGCCTTTCCCACAGCACCTGGCCCCAGA